CATGTGAGAGTAGGTCATCTAAGATGTCAAATTCTTTCGGCAACATGGCTTAATTCTTAATTTTTTGGGATGAAACTCCAATTTCCTACAAGTAATATCAAGCTATGCCCCAAACTTAGCAACGTGATAGATTGTCATTTGAATGGAGGTCAAGATGATATGGTACTTCGTTCAAAGAGAAGATTGTTAGGAAAGTGCAAATAAGTTCCTACATTGGTTGGACATAGGGTAAATGATTGGCTTATACGTGATTTTGGCCACTTAACAATGAATTATTCTCCGCGTACGTGGTTTTTCTCATAGGCACATTACAAGTGCTCCCAACATGATGCCTTTTTTATGTGATTTTTGACACGAACCAATGATAATGCGCCAAGTAGATTTCTATAACAATTTTACGAAAGTTTTTCTTTTAAGTGTAGCATAACTCAATTCCAATTCCCTACAAGTTCTACTACCGGTTATATCATAGCTAATACCTGAACCCAGCCACTTCGACACACATGACGGATCTCCAGATGCAGTCAAATGAATATGGCGGCTTGGATTTTGAAAAGCAGAAAGATCCATGTTTGGCTCTTAAAGCAGTTTTTTCTCAGTAAGATGATGGCCCTTACGTAAGGGGAGTTGGGCACTAATATAGATGTAATCGCTTCTAGTTTGATGAAGAAATATTGATAGACTATGGCTTGAAATGGGACCAAGATAATATGGTACTTAGTTCGAAGGGAGGATTGTTTGATACAAGGTCGTACCCGTGTTTTGCAAGGCCTAAGGCGAACTTCAAAATTTGGGCTCTTAAATCATAGCATGCAATCAATTTTTTTAAATTTATAAGAGTTTTACGAAACTAAATTTGTTAATTTAAAACCAACAATAAACAATAAATAAAATGAAATATTCAAAATATTTATATTATAATCATATAACAATGCAAAAATATTCTAAACAATCACTTAAATATACTCACTGAAGTTACTCGAATCACATAATAACTAACACTAACTGAAATTTGAGTGTAAAAGGTTGTTCAAATTAGTTTAAGAAAGAAAAATTAAAATATACAATTTTTTTGTTAAAGCATTGCACCAACGTAGAGCATAGACCGTAGTTATATATATAATATATGAGATAGAGTAGTAGAACATTTAGGAAAAAAATAACAATGTCAAAAAATTAAAAATAGTGAATGAACCAAAGAGAAAATGCAAATTCATAAGAATGATAACATAAATACATACATAATAATTAATTAACTAATGGGTAATTCATGAATATTGTTATGACTTGCTACTAGCATTTGCCACGTAGCCGACCCAATGAAATTGTGGACACATTCCTGTCGAACCACCAGCAATTGAAAAAGAGGCCCATATTGTAATTTTCGAGGCCCATTATCAATATGAGGTGGACTTCTAAGTAAATTCCGAAGCCCTGGGGTAAACTCCAAGGCCCGTTACTCAATAAAAAATGGTAGCTTCTGAGGCCCACTGCAAATTCGGGGTGACATGCCTTCGAGGCCCAATAGATCTGAGGCTATACTCCAGCTAGTGGTCATCTACGTGCAAAGATTTGTTCATGACGAAGATCTTTATTTGAATACCTGATGTGACATTTGTAAAAAGTGTATTTGTATCATGTCTTGTCAATCTAAGAATATTAAATGCTTTGAAAAGTTAGAAATGTTAACTTGATGCTTTGGTCCAGAAGATGAGGCCACGTGTAAATTGATCTAAGGGTCACCATTCCATTTGTAACACTATAAATACTCACACCCTGTAACAATTGAGGACTAATGCAACTTTAAATACTTGTAGCAATTCATTTGGTTCTCTTACATTGATTTACAATATTTAATCTCAGTTCTTAGCGACTGGTAATTATTTTACAATTGTATCCCGGATATCTTGTTGGAACCCGAACGGAAACGTCTCATGTCGTTGAACTTCTCCCACGTCCAATTCCGGAGTAATCTCGACCGTTGATCTACATTCAGGGACGGACCCAAGGGGGGTCCTGGGGGGCAGGTGTCCCCCAACTTTTGAGATTCTTTTTTTTTTTTAATCACGTTTGTTATCGATTGGAATTTAAATTTTAATCTAATTCAAAGTTAACAATTAATTTTAATAACATATTTCATAAAATCCATAACTGTTTAATTTGTACCAAAATTTACAAAAAATTTGATTTTAATCTCCACCAAATAGGGGCAAAATCACAATAAATTTGAATTTCGATAATATTCTAATTTTAAAAATTCTTCGACGATCGTACACTAATCGAATATACAAATTGCTTATGNATTGTTTGTATCATTTCGAACCTTATTTCAAGAATAATATTATGGACATATCGAATAGTTCAAACATATATCAAAAATAGTTAAAAATACGTTAAATGCGAACCTTTAAAAAGACGTCTAACTTGCATTTAAAAAAAAAATCTAATTATTTCATTAACATTTATTATTTTTGCGATACAAATTTCTCAATATAATTTTCATCTTTTTATTGGGAAATTAAAAAATTTCAAAATTTTACATCCGAAAAGTCATATCCCATATAAATCTTGGATGTAAAATTACATGGACAATGATTTTTTTGGACGTAAATTTTCGATTGTAAAAATTCTACCAACTTCTTTGCAAGTTCGATTGTGCCTCCCAACGTTAAAGTCCTGCGTCCGCCACTGTCTACGTTTACGTGTCGGAACTAGTTTGCACATGCACGAGTGAGTCCCGTATCTGTTTGCACCATTTTTTGAGGTCAACAAATATCTTGTAAGTCATAATTCATAAATCAAAGGCAGTTGAATCCATATATACTATCATCAAGTTTTAAAGAAAATCACTCAAAGAAAATCAAAAAAAAAAAAAAAAAAATCTTGAACCTATGCCTTAGATTTTATGTGATTGGATTGAAACCATACAAATTCCGAGGAGATGTTGACAGATCTTACATTGATGGATCGATCTGATTATCAATATTTAAAAAAAGAGCACTCAAAATATGCAAAACATGTTCAGTATATAAGTGAAAATTTGACAGAAAAAGGGGTGTAGAGTGCATTCAAATTGGTAGCAATATTAATGCATATCCTTTTATTCCAGAGTTAATACCCTAAATAATCACTGAACTTTGACAAAAATTTTTAAGAGGTCATCGAACTTCAAAACTTCCCTAAGTAGTCACTAAACTTTGCAAATAATTTCTAGGGGGTCACTGAATTTCAAAACTTCCATAAATAGTTATTGAACTTTGCCAAAACTTCCTTAAATAGTTATTGAACTTTGCCAAAACTTCCTAAGATTGGGACCCTATACATCAATGGCTCAGTGACTATCTAGAAAAGTACTAAACAATGCGAAGGGCTCTTGGGCCTCTTCTCAAGTCTGGCCATGGTTCGAAAAGTACTAAACAAAATTCCACAATGGTTAAACACGGAGTAAATGATGTGCTTTAAGAATTTTGATCACTATATCTATTGGGTTAACCTTCTGATATATATCCCCAATTACACAAATAATTTAAATGAAGTAATTTATAATATTTATATTAAGGGCTTGTTTGAACCCCATTTTTTTTAAATAAAAAAATGCATTTTATAATAGTGTTACGATGGAAAATGTGTAATTAAAAAGTAAAGAAATTTTTTGAATTTGCGTGTAATATTATTTCATTGAAAAATATATGATTATAATGAGATTAAATCACTATTCAAAAATACATTTTGTTGAAGAAAACGGAGCTCAAACTGGGCTAAATCTATTATACAATAACTAGAGAAAACTGTTATGCCTTCACCTAACGGAGGTCCATTCACCGTCATGTGGAGGCAACTTGACGGTCCCACACACATGGACGAGTCAAATTTGGAGGACATGAGGCATACGATCAAGTTGTGGTCTAGGCTAATTAATCCAAGCCAAAATCACATTTCCCATGGAGCAACAATCATATACAAAAGGGCAGAGTGGAATAGATATTATGGTCAACAAAGATAAAGAAAGTATCGTGAAAAAATAAGTTTATTTCTTTATGTAAATTCTACATAAGCTTTTTTCCATACAATGTGTTTGACTTCAAACATAAATCCTAGGATCATTGACCATTCTGTTGATTTCTGAATTTAGTTGGAACTCGACGCGCCAATAGATTCCTTCTCCTTTTCTCTCCAGGTATATGTTACATGTTCACTTGAAATGCAAACGTTAAACGTGAAAGATTGGAGTCTCTCCAAGCACAAAGGAATCGAAAGGCCATCACACATACTCCGATTCTAAGTTAATCACGAGGACAAGAAAATATATTGAGCGTGAAAGACAATTTAGAGAAAAGAATATAATTTAGAGTCGATTTTTTACTTAAGAGAGCGATAATACTCCTAACAGATTACTCTTGAACGACACTAAATCTGAGTATTTATAAATAAGAGAAATGGATTGGACTTCTTGGATACTTGATAAGTGGCATCATCCCAACGACTATCTAGTCAAACTCCACCTAATCACAATAGTGTCATAGGCATCAATACGTGCGTGACCTCGTATATTGTCCAAGACGGATAAAAGAACGTTTTGCACTCAACTGCCGCCACATATAATATCATATCAATCAAATCTCACGTGGATCTGTGTGTTTGCACGACCATTTACTCAAGGCTTTGAGGATCGAATTAACTCCCCCGGACATGGGGGACAACGTTATGTGGCAATGGATTGGGAGTCCAGAAATTGCCTCAATTAAGGAAGGTGAAGATCATACATCATTTTAATTCGTCTCAAAGGCCTTCGTCGACAAAGTGTTGGGCCATGTTCCCAACACCTAGGAAGTTGTTGATTAACGAGGTGGCATCATGTTACTTCATCGCCTCGAAAAGTACTGACATGATATTTTGCTTAGCTGATGGTCACTTGACCTACCGCGAGGGTAGACGCGTAACTGTTTCTTATAAGAAGGCATAAATTCCAAAGCTTAGATGAAAAAAAGTATGGCACTCCAATGGCAAAGGCAAAAGCGGCTCCAATGCTAATTATGGTGGCCAGATCTTGCTGCCTAGTCCAACGTTCGAAAGGTCCCACTAGGATTCCACTTGTCAGATTTGAGTTTGTCCTCATATCTTGCCACGTGGAAGGACGTTCTTATTCCTAAGTCAAGTAATTTGACTAAACCCCCCCCCCCCCCCCCACACACACACACTCCCACTCCCCCAAATTTAGCCTTCTACTTCATTCTTTGAAAACTTAATTTTTCTTATATTTATTTTTAGTTATACATTTTCTTAATAAAATAATTTTATACGTAAATTCGGATTTTTTTTTCTATTTTTTAATTCTCGAAAAAAATGATATTCAAACAAACCTTTAATTCTCTCACCTCTAGTCGGTGCAAAATCCATCGAACATTAATTGCTAAGTATTAAATCGCTGTAACTCCGTTAAATCCACCGTGAAAATCTCTACTTCTGGGCCCAACTCCAATCCGAGAAAGCAGAGACAATAAGACATCTATTTCAGAGTCCTTTTATTTTCTCTGTGATTTTCAAATGAACTCCCACTTTCTCTCCTTTATATTGCATTGAATGAGCCTCCAAGGCTAATCCAAAAGTCACGAGAAGCTCGTTTCAGCTCCCATTTTCTTGTTCAGATCCAATCCCTTATCTGATATTTCTCTTCCCTCTCCGCCGGACTCTTGATCACCGGAATTCAAGAACGCTCCCCAGCCAGCGCTCACTTTTTTCAAATAGTCGAGAATCAGGTAATTCATTTTGATCGCGCTGATTTTGTAGTATTAGATAGTGTTAAACTGATTTAACGTTTTTAATTGTCGTCTGCAGTTCATACCAGACTCTAATCTATAAAATGCGCACTTTATTTCTGAATTCCTACCTTTTTTCAAGTATGATCAAATGCGTCTTTCGTTACTCTCTGTCAACTCGAAATATTTGATTTAAGTGCATCTCCTCTGAAATTTAGGTATATGTATGTGTGAGACTGCGAAATACTTCTAATATCATCCGGGTTTTTGCATGCGATCAAGATCATGACAAACATACGCGTCTTTTTCAATTTGATATGAACTTCTCTATATGCGATCAAGATCATGACATACATACGTGTCTTTTTCAATTTGATATGAACTTCTCTATCAACATTGTTTTGTACAAATAATAATAATAATAATTAATGAAGAAAATCTTCCATTGTAGCCTGCAGTTTTATATTTTTTATTTATGGCATTCTTAATTTTTGTCATATTAAGGAACTTGTTCCGAAGAGAATCAAGGCAAGAATGCCACAAGAAAGCAAGTCCAATCCACTATTCAGCAGTCCCAGCAAGAGCCTGAGGGGGTTGAAGGGATTGGTCTGCAACAATAATGAGCCTTCTTATGCCGAAGAGATCATAGATGATCGAGAATTAGCGCAGAGAAAAGCCGACGAAGCAGGTAATAATTTAACGAACTCAACAAAAAAATAAAAAATAAAAATCAATATTTCGAAGTCAAAAGTTGTAGTTAACCTTTCTGCATCAACAATCCATATTTCGTGTCCAAAAAGCTAGAAGGTCACCCGAGTTAAAAAAAAAAAAAAGGTTAGAAAACCCTAGTGGTGTGGTGGTGGTACTCGATTAGTTGGGTCCATTACTGTACATAATTAAAGAATCCTGGACATCATTGTTTGGAAATCACTCTTAATTATTCCGTTTGGCACTGCTCATAGAGAATCATGGACATCATTGTTAGTGACATGCATAATTACCCTTCTTATATTGGGATGCTTTTGCTTTAACTTTATACAATATCAACTTTTGTTCCTACATTTGGAACTAACATAAATTCAGTCCCATTTTTCAAAATTTATTTTCTCCAAATTTAGTTTCGATAGCAAAACGTTTCTCCAGTTTTATACCACATATTCTTCAAAAATCACTTTTTAATAAATCTATTCTGAAAAAAATGGAGCTCAAACGGGGGGCTCGGTATTTTTCAAGTTTGATACTCCAATCAAAACACATGTATATTTTGCATTTCTTGGTGAATGATTATTCTAAATGATGCTTAAGTCCTTTTTTGATTCAGATTTTTTAAAACTCATTTTTTTTATGACCTGAAAAGGAGGATGGGAGACTCCTCATTTTCCCTACACAAATCTCTCAAAAAATATAATCAATATAGCAATATAATCTTAAAGAATAATGCTATTTATACTGGTCTTACATAACATACATGTGACAGTTTGAGAACAAATCAATATTGACAAGCTCGATCTTATTCATCGAGCAAAAAAATATTGGGTATAATCAACTTCTTTCACCAATTCTCAAAGTCAAGCTGTTTATGAAGTGTCAATTTGAACTTCAACCTTAACCCAAGTGCCCTTTCGATATTTAGGTTGTGTTTGATAGGGTGACAATTCCATGAAAAATGGAATTGATTTTCCATTTTCTAACTTTTTAGGTATTAGATAGGATTAATTTTCTCGGCAAAACTTTTTCTCGCCTCTCCCCACACGTGCACATTTTCAAGACTTGTGTTTTCCAGGTTCTGATTTTTTTTTTAGCAATGAAAACAAATTTTATCATCAATTGTAAATTTTTTTTTTTTCATTTAATGGATAATTTTCATAAAAAATAAAACCAAAAGATTCAAAATTTATTTCTATGTGAAAAACTATACTAATCAAACACAATTAATTACAATTCTCAGTACAACAATTTCTAGACAATTCAATTTCCTGTAATTTATTTTCTTTCAACAAAATTTTCACATTTGCAATCAAACGAACCCTTACTTCATCAATCCCAAGGCTTAATTGGAGAGCGGATAATTGTGTCTACAGATGAAAGTACCCAGAAAGGGTATGCTCCAGCTGCACAACCTGCGGCCAATTTGACCGTTGTGCATCAGCAAACGATTATGATATATTTGTTACAAGGTTGTGTGAATTACTTCAAATCCAATTCAAAGACAATTGTCATCATCCAAAATTTACTAATTTAAAAGAGATTATTTTAATCTAAACAGCAAAAATCTGAAAATCTGATACAAACACGGAAATCTCAAATGTGAGAATGATCAAGGAAAAATCATTTGAAGCGCAAAGAGCTTAGAATCGACTACAGATCTCCAATTGATTACAATACAAAACCCTAACAACAAAAAGAACGCCTATTTACACAAAATTTCAAAGAGTAACGAAAAACCTAATTTTCCAATCCTAATGCTAAAATCTCTTATCCTCCGAAGCCGTATAGAGTGCGGCCTTGCCTCTTGAGCGCGTAAACGACGTCCATCGCCGTCACGGTTTTGCGGCGAGCATGTTCAGTATAGGTGACGGCATCACGAATGACGTTCTCAAGAAAGATCTTGAGGACGCCGCGAGTCTCCTCGTAGATGAGCCCGCTGATACGCTTCACTCCGCCACGGCGAGCCAGGCGGCGAATCGCCGGCTTTGTGATGCCCTGGATGTTGTCCCTGAGTACCTTCCTGTGCCTTTTGGCTCCACCCTTTCCCAAACCCTTGCCTCCTTTTCCTCTTCCAGACATTTTTCCTCTGTTTCAATGCGAGAAATTGAAATTAAGAAGATAATTAGTCAAAGATTTATCTGATTTCACTGTTATGTAGAAGGGGAATTATATCTGCGAATCGTCTGGGATTGGGAATGTTTTCTTCTTATCGTTAGATTCTTCGAGAATCGACGGCTAATAATTTCGATCCGAGTCAGTTGAGTTGTGAAATTATGAGCCGTTGATAAGAAAATCCATTTTTAAAATGACACACTTCAATCAAGATAAAAAATAAAAATAAAAATTTCAAGCAAAAGACATTGACGGTAAAAATCTCGTTCTTTGGAAATTCTTGTCAGGCTCATCAAAGTTTATAGTGTTAAAAGGTAAAATTATTAGTAATTGTTTAAAATAAACCATGAAATGCGTGGTTAATAAATGGATAATAATTGTGAACATGGTTAAAATTAAATAGAAAAAACAAGTTTTAATGTTAGACGAAGCTGCACGAGAGGTCTAACTAACCTTCCATATTTCAGCTGCAAGGAGGTACCAGGCAGCGCAATGGCTACGGCAGATGGACCACGGTGCATCAGGGGTGCTCCCAAAAGAACCCGCCGAGGAAGAATTCCGTTTGGCACTTCGAAATGGCCTCGTTCTTTGCAACGTACTCAACAAAGTCAATCCCGGTGCTGTATACAAGGTAGTAATTATTTACATTAATTACCTAGAATATGTTGAACTCGTTTGTTTCAAGTTTGTATCGATTTTCTCTTTTTCTAGGTGGTGGAAAATCCGGTCCTAGATGTGCAGGCCACAGAGGGTGCAGCTCAATCCGCTATTCAATATTTCGAGAACATGAGGAATTTTCTAGTCGCAGTTGGCAAAATGAAGCTCCTGACTTTTGAAGCATCTGATCTTGAAAAGGTGAAAGCTTTACAGCATTTGAAAATCATATACAAATTTCTTGTCATCACTATTTAATGTTATCAATGCACTTTATAAATATATAATTGACATCGTAATGTACATTAATGAACTTGAGTACCATTTTAATCCTTAGGGAGGATCATCAAGCAAAGTTGTGGATTGCATTCTTTGTTTGAAAGGATATCATGAATGGAAGCAATCTGGAGGAATCGGAGTGTGGAGATATGGCGGAACTGTGAGAATTACATCTTGCCCGAAGGAATTGCAATCTTCTTTAGTCGGAAATGAAAGTGCTGATGAATCACTAGATGATTCTGAATCATCACAATATGAACAACTAATGGAGTTCCTCCAGTTTTCAACCGAGATTTCACTTGAGGAATCCAAGGCAGCCAATGTACTCACCTTCATTTTTGATCATTTTAGTCTTGGTCTTCTACAGGCTTTTCTGAGAGAGAGCATTGAGTTTGACAACTTGCCATTAAGTCCAATGGTAGGTAAGAATTAAGATAATTCTGTTTAATGCATGACCTCAAGTTCCTTGTTAGCTGATCCCAACAATCATGATCTAGATTAACATAGATGGTTTCTTTCTTAACAGAAAAATCAGCCATTGAAACTAAATGATAATGCAAGAAGACACATCATTTCGAAGTGAAAAGATGTTTTCAATATATCCCATTCAGATGTTCACTAATAGATTAAAAAACGGATTGCATGTGTATTTCCTGTTCATATAGTATATTTGAAAGAATCTTTGTAGTCTCTAGGATATTTCTCATGACAAAATAAATTGCATATACATATAAAAGTGAATAAATGTTTTTGGAATCCAATTTTGGAAGTTTTTGGTAAGATAAATGAATCTTAAAACTTTTGAAGAAAAGGAAGAAAATGCATTTTCATTTGGTAAGAATCATCAATGTAAAGAACACAGCTGCACAGATGACATCAGATCAGTGATCCAGATTCATGAGAACAACCAAAGGCTGCGTACGTGGTGCCCAATATTGTTTTATGTCTTGATTCTAGCAATTCTACCTGGAGCTTGTTTAGTGATATTAACTGTTGGTACCGAGTCTAAAGCGCTGCTAGCCACCTTGTGTTCTCCACCCAGTACAAGTGAAGAGACTTTTTTTGTTGGATTTGGTCCTAGCTCTGTTCTTTTGTGCATGAAGCTAGTCGTACTTTTATCATATTTTCACCATGGTTTATCTTCATAAGAAACTACTATGTCAATTTTTATGTATTTTCAACCTAGTCTACCACTAATGCAGTTGAAGTGTGGCAATATGTAGGTCATTGATGTTGTCTTCAGGAAGGTAATTAAGGATTTCTCAGAATTATTGATTTCTCAAAGCAACCAGGTAATGGCAATGATGGTTTATACTGGCTTGTGTAATTCAGTTATTGCTTCCAGTTAAGTCTTGTAATAGAATATATTTGCAATATCTGCAACTTAATGAAGTAAAACCTTCTTTTTGTAACCTGCAGCTTGGATTATTTTTGAAGAAAATTCTGTATACTGACTGTGTTCATCTATCAAAATCTGAACTTCTCAAAGCCATATCAAAGTACCTTAGTAAAAGGACAAGTCTAGTATCAAGGGATATTTCCAGTTTCTGTATCTGTGGTGGAAAGGGTGAAGGAATATGGCCAAAGAATGGTTCCTCTGGTGGTAGTGGGGAACTACTTGACCTTCAACAGAAACACCTAGAGGTATCACCATCGATCACCGCAATTTGCAATTTTTATTTTTTCCCCCTTTGCTTTCTGAAGTTCACTCAATTGGTTGTGTGCTTGCTCTTCCTCGTTGTTTGCTAACTGAATTCCAGCGAGGAAGGTATAGAATCAAACATGACATCTCGGGAATATTCATAAACATTTCATTGACACAGTAATAGATCTCAACAACTCCATAAAATAAGTCTGAAGAAGTAAAACAGAAGAAAAGAATGTTGCAGCAGGAGAAGACTGTAGAATGTAGATTAAGAATAATCGATGTCATATATTTTTGCATACAAATTATGAATAAGTTTGCACTTCCTATATTTCCCCTTTGCTTTCCTAAGTTTACTCAATTGGTTGTCTACTCGCTGCCTATCCTTTTTAGCTAACTGAAGTCCAGGAGGAAGGTATAAAATCAAACATGACACCTCAGGGACATTCATTAAGAATTCATTAGCACGCTAATAGATCTTAAAAACTCCGTAAAACAAGTTCGAAGAAATAAATATGATGAAAAGAATGCGTAGTAGGAGACGACTTTAAAATGTAGATTAAGGATAATTGAGGTCATTTATTTCAGCATACAAGTATATGAATAAGGCTTTGTAGAGTTGAAAACTGTGATTATACTGAGTATTTGAAGTGTTAGTGATCAAGTCTCTTCATGGAAATTTGTATTTTGAGAAAATGAGGAATAAAGGTATATGAACTACGTGAGATGACTGAAGTACTCTGAACTACGTGAGATGACTGAGGTACTCTGATAGAACCTGTATCTCTGAGTGAGCTTGATAAAGCACAATTAGTATTGCGCCATTAATTTGGAAGAGTCCCTTCGAAAGCTTTGTTACTCTAGGTCCAACTTTCAAGTTACCAGGCAGACCCTCACAAGTGAAATGCAGAATGGTGAATGCTATCTGATTTTCATGCTAACATTATAGTGTATTTGTGAAAATATATCTTCCTAGGTTTATTATTATTCTGTGTATCAACTTTTATGATATTATGTGCTTTCAATTTTCTTGCACAAAAATTGTACTTCTACTCCTGTCATTGTTGTTTTATTTTCTCAATATATTACATTTTAGGATCTTAAAACTCTTTTTAGAGAGACGAAACAAGAAGTCCAGTGGGTTCAGTTAGGATGGGAGCAAGAACTTCAAAGGCTCGGTGAGATACAGACCACTGCTTCGATTAAAGGCTGGCATTGTTCAGGGGACAACAACATTTTAGTCTTGTACTTAAGTTGCAATATTTTCTTTAACTTTACCATGGCCACTACTTTTTTCAGAACACCATTTTAAGACCATTGAAGTGGCTGCTTCTTCTTATCACAAAGTTTTGGAAGAGAATCGACTACTTTACAATCAAGTCCAAGACCTAAAAGGTGATTCATTCGAAATTTGAATAAAATTGAACTGTCAATTTTGTAAAACTGAAGTTGAATAAATACGTTGTCTGCAGGGACTATTAGAGTTTTCTGTAGAGTAAGGCCTTTCCTTCCGGAGCAGTCTCATGGACAATCTACAGTTGATTACATTGGAGAAAATGGAAACATCATGATTGTTAATCCCCAAAAGCAGGGTAAAGATGCAAGGAGGGTTTTCACATTTGATAAAGTTTTTGGCACAAATGTGACACAAGGTAAGTCCTTTTTACAACTTATCTTCTTTCCAGTGCTTTAGTTTACTGGCTTTCGAATTAGAGACGTTAAAGTCAAGCAGGCAACAATCATGTTGACCAGAAAGGGAAAACAAAATTTGACATTTTTATTCTTAATGAATCTGTATGTTTACAAAGCATAATAGAGCTATAACTATCAATACAAAATTTTGCGCTCCTGAAAACATCTAACTGTGATTTGTTTTAATATTTGCAGAACAAATATATGCAGATACTCAACCATTGATCAGATCTGTACTCGATGGTTATAATGTTTGTATATTTGCATATGGTCAGACTGGCTCAGGGAAGACATATACAATGGTATGCAAAAGTACATCTGTCTGATTGTTGCTTTCAGTAGGTTTCATATACCTTGGAATATTGACATTATGTTTTCGAAAGTTACAATTTGGGGCAAGCCATGCTACTTTTGGGAGAGTAATGTTCACAATTGATCATTTAAAGGAACAATTTATTTGCACATAAATCTCTGCTGTGGTGGTATGCAAAGTTTTACATATTTAATTTTAGACTGCATTGTCATCTGGGCCTGATTTGTGAGTTCTATGAGCATTTCACTTCTCTTCCATAGAGTTTCTGTAGACTAATGAAAGTATCACACATTAAGACTGAATCTCTAAGTGTCTCTAAGCACTGGTTTGAGTATGCCAGCTAGAGTTCAATCAAGACATTTAGATCATTTAGATCTTTAGTTTCGAACAATATTTTGATCTTTCCATTAAATACTTTTACAAAAGCTTTGTCAAGAAAATCTGGAAGACTAATTCCAAAACTTTTGTGCAACACTGTTGGCTTACATAGACTCCTTACACTATAGAAATGAGCTTTTTAGGAATGTATCCTGTTTATGCAAATATGCCAAACATGCACTCGTATAGAAATTGTGGATTTCTGAGATAATTAATTTAATATCTAATTGAATTACAGAGTGGTCCTGATTTGACAACAGAGGAGACATGGGGGGTGAATTATCGTGCTCTACGTGACTTGTTTAGCATTTCAAAGGCAAGAATGGATGTAATAGAATATGAGGTTGGAGTCCAAATGATTGAGATATACAATGAACAAGTGAGAGATTTGTTGGTCATTCATGGGAGTAATAGAAGATATCCTTGCCAAATTTCTTTTTCTTGTTGTTAAATGAAGACTTTCTAAGCTTCAATACGCATTGCTTGGTTAAAATTTGAAAAAAAACCTTAATAATGGACACATTAGACATCCGCAACAATTCTCAGTTAAACGGTCTTAATGTTCCTGATGCGAGCTTGGTTGCTGTTAGATGTACTAAAGATGTTCTTGATTTGATGAAAATTGGACAAAGAAATCGTGCCGTGGGTGCCACAGCTTTGAATGAGCGGAGTAGTCGATCTCACAGGTGAACTTTTCTCTACCTCTTTTCAGTTCATATTGTTCCCTTAACATCAATCTTCACTTATTTATTGTAATGATTTGTGATTGTGACCCTTCTCTGGCAGCATTTTAACAATTCATGTCCGAGGAAAAGAACTAGTCTGTGGATCCATGTTAAAGGGTTGCCTTCACTTGGTAGATCTAGCTGGAAGCGAGCGAGTAGATAAATCTGAAGCTGTTGGGGAGAGATTGAAAGAAGCTCAACATATTAACAGATCTCTCTCTGCACTTGGGGATGTCATTTCTGCTCTTGCACAGAAGAGTTCTCATGTTCCCTATAGAAATAGCAAGCTTACACAAGTACTCCAAGATTCATTAGGTAGTGAATTAAACCACATCCTCTGGAAAAGATTCTGATTAGTTTTCTTTTAGAGTTTTCAAACAATAGATTGAAAGAAACACATTTTTCTTAAAACTTAGTGAATGAGTTAAGATATGATTAGATTTTACAATTTTGGAAACCATATGGTTATTACATTCAGTTTCTCTTTTTCACAGGGGGTCATGCTAAGACATTGATGTTTGTGCATATAAACCCAGAGGTTAATGCTGTAGGTGAAACAATTAGCACCTTGAAATTTGCAGAAAGAGTTGCCACAATAGATCTGGGGGCAGCTCAATCTAATAAAGAAGCCAGCGAGCTTAGAGAATTTAAAGAGGAGGTCCATTTATCTTCGATCACTTGTTCAATTGCATTGATTTATTTAGCTACTTCTTTTATTATTTCATGTTAATGTGTAGATCTCAAACCTTAAGCTCGCACTGGAGAGAAAGGAGGCTGAATTAGAGCAACTAAAAAGTAGGACTAATATTCAAGGCATGCTATCACCTCTTCGGGTATCAAAAAATGGCAATTGTGTTAATTTGAAGCCTGAGACTGGTCAACAACACGGCTCAGAGGTAACTGCCAGGAATCTTGTTGTATTGAAACCACAAATAACAGTTCATTTTTCAATTAAATACTCAAAAGTCACCTTCGACTTTAAAATTAAGTTGTGATTATTTTTGGAGCTTACAGCAGACTAATAGTGTTGTAGTGATATCAGTTCAGATTCTCATAAGACATAACTAAGCTCTTGTTTGAAAAAGATTTTTTGAGACCTGATTCTTTGAAAAGTGTTTTTTTGATGAATGTGTGGTTAAATAGTAGGAAAAAGTTATATGAGAATGTGTGGTTGAAAATGAGTGTGGGAGAGAAGTTATTTTTGAAGAATTAAATCAAAAAAGGGCTAAATATTGTGTTTCCATGTGGTCTTATCAGCCACAAGTAGTATCTCATCTCTTTCATCCTAAATTGCAGGTACGAAGCTGTTCCTCAGGTAAGCAGAGAAAGCCTAGAGTTCCCTCTAAGTTCACAGACAAGGACGTTGTGCAAAAAATGCCTTTTCTAGCTGAAGAGAGATCAGTGGGCTCCATTAAGCCTAGATCTCCATCTCCTCCTATTAGGAGATCAACATCAACTGATAGAGGTTCCCTAATCAGAAGTAGAATCAGACATGATACTCTTGATACCCTGCCTGTCATGAAACAAGTCTTTCCATCTTCTATTTCGGCCAGTAAATCCGTCACCAACATAGCTGCAATCACCCCATCAGCAGCAAATACACGTTTGTATCCAGGTTCCCAAGAGCCAATGAAGCAGGATAATGTTTCTGATTTATTCAACAGCCTCCAAAGGGCCACGACTCGGAAAGTTCACCTGGAAAAGGAAGATGAACAATTTAAGCAAGCACTAAATGTACGGCAAGGTGGCATCAGAAAAAGCAAACCTGAGAGTAAAGTCAGGTCCAAACATCAGTTGCCAGCTAAGAATCAAAAGTCTGACATTTCAGAGACACTTTCTGATATGGATAATTGCAAAATGCTGGAGGCTAAAAAAACTGATTTTTCAAATCCTGAAATTGAGCCTGTTCAGTTGCCAGTATGTGGTACGACTAGAACACATAAGCTTCATAGAAGCTTCTCAAGGAACTCTCAACATCTTGAGCCGAGGTATGACTGAAATATGTTATGAAATTCTTGAAGGTAGCTTTATTTGGCATCTTTTTTGCTTTAGTTGACATGAATAACTTTCTTTTCCGAAGCAGAGAACCAGCACAAATGGTGGAACCCTCATTGGCTGGGTACCATGAAAATAAATTTCCCAACAGTGTACTTCAGAATGTAAAGGAAGCCGGCAATTCATCAGTGCCTGAATTTCGGAGGAGTAGATCTACACCTAGAGGAAAATTCATAGTTTGACCTTAACAAGTCTAGAGTATGTGATCATGAGAGAGTTTGTACAGAATCTCCTCAAGTTTTGGATCCATTTTGCATGGTCTTCAGGGTTGGGAACTTGAATGGTATCAGGTGAATATTAGAGACCTGCTCCTTCCTTTTATACAAGTTTTGAAGCTATAGTCTTCTGTACAGTCAATGCTATAATTTTTCGAGATTGTCTTGTCTTTCTTGATGTGTAATTCATATGATATATTTTACAGTTTTCCCTTATTTAGACTGAAAGATATTGTTGCCCCCACAAAAACAGGGAAAAGAAGTCGAGTGCATGAATTAAGTTATTGATATAAACATTAGCTTTTGAAGGATAGAATGAACTATGTATTTCTATCATCAAATAAGAGCCTCTTCTCCAATATATATAATGTAGCAATACAGCAGTTCTATGGACACTGTTCAGTATATTTATTTGCATTAGAACCCGAAATATCAATTCAGATGCGCATGGGGTGAACCTGTGAATTTCTTTTAAGTTTTGAACCAATGAAACTACTATTATTTTCATTTATTTTTTGCTAAATTTAGTATAGAAATTTAATGACTGCCAAGAATACGAGATGGCAGTTTATTATATTTTATACATCTGCTATTGGGAAATACCGATCTATCAGAGAGATAAAGCATCCACATTTTCTGGAAAAGAGAGACCTTTAATGCCTGTTTTATTTGCCCAAAACCCCATTACACCTCATCTTTCTTCTCCAGATTGATTACCGAAGATTTGATTCTGTTTCTTAATCTGAAATTTTGTATCTCTGACGTGCGAAACCAGGAAAAAAATTGTTGGATCGATTTACCTGCAATTCATGCAGATTTTATCCTTTGGCCTGAAGCATTTGAATTCGATGGATTCAAGAAAATCGAGGTAAAATGCGGCTGTATATCTAGTGTCTTATTATATACTTCTTTGCATGAGCAAAATAACAAAATTATAGTCTTTGGATTAGACAGAAAGGTGATGGAAGTGATTTTCTTTATGAATTTTAGGTCTCCTTGGGATAAATGAAAAAAATTGGGCATCGATTTGGAATCTAAATTTCAAAAGGCACAGACGGATTTTAGGAAAAATTGATTGCAAAAATTTTATGGGTTTCCTACATTTGAATAGGTAGGATAGGAAATGCTGATTGAATAGGTCAGAAATGTTTAGAATTCCTGTGGAATCTGTGATTTATTTCAATGAGGGAAAATTGCAAGAGAAGGCTGTGGATGACCCAACAGATAAACCTGCACACACTTTTGTCACCTTCATTCACAGAGCCAAACTGGTGGATATGTTCCAAAAAATAACTGTTACATGGGACAAAAATATGATTAACCATTCTCTTTATATAATGGTAGAGACTCATGAGGAAGATCATTACATGTGCAAAATTGATTTTAAAACATGGCAATTTTGGGGAAAAAAGGTCTGAAATCATTTAAAGTTTACGAGAAATGCATTGATGTTTTCTGGGATTTAAGGTTTGCAAAATTTAGTAGCAGCTTAGAACCAACCTCTGATTACTATATAGCAGTGGTTTCTGAAGAAGAGGTGGTTTTAGTGCTAGGTGATCAGAAAAAAAGAGGCATTCAAGAGGAAAAAATGCAGACCATCCTTAGAAGATGCTGCCTTGGTGCATAAAAAAAGAAATTGTGTTTGCCAAGAATGTTTTTGCACCAAAACTACATTAGGACAGGGTAAAAGGGAGCACAACATAATCATTGAGTCTGCTCTATCCGGCCCTTGTGATCCCAAAAAATGGATTAGTATAGACGGGATTGCTTCAATTCGCATAACAAATTTGCATTGGAGATTTAGAGGCAATGTAACAATTATGGTGGATGATTTGCCCGTACAAATTCTGTGGGACGTTCATGATTGGCTGTATAATGGCCAGCATCTGGGAGCAGGTGTATTTATCTTCAAGCAAGGAGCAGATGAACCTGAAAGTATTCCGCTTGATGGGGAACCAAAACTACATTAGGACAGGGTAAAAGGGAGCACAACATAATCATTGAGTCTGCTCTATCCGGCCCTTGTGATCCCAAAAAATGGATTAGTATAGACGGGATTGCTTCAATTCGCATAACAAATTTGCATTGGAGATTTAGAGGCAATGTAACAATTATGGTGGATGATTTGCCCGTACAAATTCTGTGGGACGTTCATGATTGGCTGTATAATGGCCAGCATCTGGGAGCAGGTGTATTTATCTTCAAGCAAGGTACAGATGAACCTGAAAGTATTCCGCTTGATGGGGAAGATTCAGCAAACCAGTCCTCCTCCATAGATTTCTGCCATTTTCTCTTTGATTGGAAAACTGAATGAGAAACTTCAGGTATAGAAATTTCAGTACCATGTCAATAGCCTTTAATGTTTTAGTTTGAAAACAATGTCTAATTTCAGTTTTAGCAGATGTATGATGAATGCCATTGTTTTAGCTTGGATATTGAATAGGTTTCTCTTCTTCTTGTGTCCATATATAGATGGTTATGAGAAAATTGTCGGTGATATTGTATAGTGAAATTGTTGTTTGTTTGAATGACAATGTAATTAAACTATATGAAAATAGAAGCAAAAAGAAAGAAAGAAAGAAAATGAAGAGAAAGTGAATAATGAAATCCGAAGCAATTGATTAACACTTTCTCCTTAAGATAAAATTGCCCCACAACGGTAATAATGGATTACAGCACTTGTCTCTCAAGATACAACGGATACAACTTGTGGTAGAAGCACTTCAAACTGCAAGCAACAGCGAACTCGAACAATTTTTCTTCTCTCTACAAGAAAATAAATTTTGTAAGGATTTTTAGAGAGTTTTTGCAAGAGTTTTGATATAATGCTTAATGCAAATGATATGAGATGCATAATGGATGTCCAAAAGATCTTATTTATAGAAGAGAAGAGGTTGTGAGTGAAGTGTCTTCCCCAAACTCAGCAATCTTCACGAAGGAAACCATCCCTTGTTGTTGCTAGCCTGTCGCTAGCCTCTTGTTCGAGTTACAGTGATACATGTTCAACAAAAACATTTTCGCTCGACTGTCGCTCTCACTGCTCGAGCGCTAAGCGAGCGGTGAAGTTAGGCAATTTTCCGACTAGTTTTTCCTCTCTTTTTTTTTTCAACTTTGGACCGCAATTTCTCATTCATTCGGAATTAATTTTGAGATTCCAAATATACCCCGACTATCTGATCGACGAGTAGAACAAGTTAGTCTATTTATATTTATAATTTAACTATCGGATCAAGTCGGGATATTTGGCTAAAATCGACACAAAGTCACTTTTCAAGTTTTATACTTAATCAAATTTTAAACCAAATTCCAACAATACCCCATATGAATGGAAATTCAAATATGTTCATACTATGTGAAAATATGATACATCGTAGAGAGAGAGAGAGAGTAGAAAAACACTACATCAGGTAATGTAGCTTCCGACCTTGAATATTCCTTAGTGAAATGCTATCGGATTTACTTGGCTAATTGGTGAACATGATGTTTTGAATCATTCAGCCGTTGGTGTAAACTAAGACAATAATACTCACATAGATGTATTTCTAAAATTGTTCATGGTTCTTATGACTTGGTTCATTTTGGCCCTGAACCACTATTTGGTTTCATAAGTATTTAGAAAATTTCACCTTGAACAATTTTCGTTGAGGCGGCCCGCCTCACACTTACATAGGTGGCTTCCTATTAAAAGTAAGTTGTCATACTCTACTTGACTTAATCAAGATATATGAATTATTAAAAGTATATCTTAACCTTTAACATTGTGCAGAAAGCACTTTAATTATCATAGCAATGAGTTAGGAAACATTTTCCCAAGTGCTTCTTGAATTTTCATAACTTAGTTGTCCACTTAAACTAAGATATTAGGATCTTCAATCAACAAAGTAGGGTTACCATTACAAATATTCTTACGTAGTAGGATTTAATCTCATCCCTTTCGATAGACAACGTACTTGATCATGCTGCTTTGAGCCCTTCCAATAGCCGATTGACTATCACAATGTATACTTATTATAGGTAGCAGCTTAGGCCAACATGAAATATCTTCCAAGAAGTTACGAAGCCCTTATGCTTCGTCTCCAGCTTTGTCAAATAAACTCTGATTCCATAGTTGATCGAGCTATACACATTTTCTTTGTCGACTTCCATGATACATCAGCTCTACTAATAGTAAATATATAACTACTAATAGATTTAGAATCTTTCATGTCGGATATCCAATTCGCATTACAATATCCTTCCAATACCACGTGATATTTTGTGAAGTATAATCCATAAGTTAAGGTATACTTCAAGTACCCTTGTTAAAGCCTTCCAATAATCGTGTCTTGGATTACTTGTGAATATACTAAGTTAATTCACTACAAATGTGTGTCCGGTCGAGTACAATTTGTAATATACATTAGACTGCCTATAATATGTGAATACTTTAGTTGTGACACACATTCACCCGTATTTTTTACTAAGTGTAAACTTGTGTCAATAGGGGTTTCCGTAAGACTTTCCTCAAGCACATTATACCTTTTAGGTATACTCTCAATGTAGGGAGATTGAGAAAGTATAATTTCTTCTGATATTTTAGAGATCCCAATCCCTAGGCCTGCCAGTGATGATAAATGTTGATGAGGACCTCTCTCATCGACAAGATCTCTGCCTTTCTCCCAACCGATGTATCACATCAGCCACATCCAATTCTTTCATATCAAAATATTTCGTTAACATTCTCTTGGTGTTTAGCATTATTTTGTAACTATTGGTCATTATCAACATGTCGTCCACATATAGGCATACAATCACATAGGCTTTTGGTGTATGTTTTATGTATACACACTTATTACATTCGTTTATCTTAAATCCATTAGACAACATCGTTTGTCAAACTTTTGGTGCCATTATTTAGGTGATTGTTTCAATTCATACAAGGATTTAACTAGTTTACAAAACTTTTGTTTGTGATTATGAGATACGAACCCTTCAGGTTATTCCATGTATATTTCATTTTCTAACTCACCATTTAGGAATGTCTTCTTTACATCCAGTTGGCGAATCTCAAGTTCATGTAATGCCGCAATCGCAATTAACAATCTTATTGAAATTATTATAATCACGAGTCAGTAGTTATCAAAGAAGTCAAGTCTTTCTTTTGTCTATATCCCTTTTACTAAGCCTTGGTTCTTCCTCATTTGAAGTATCATTTACAATATTATAAGTTCTTTTATTTGAACTTGCATTTTTCTTGTCTTTACATGGAAAAATATTCTCGAAGAACGATACATTTCTCGATTCAATTATGGTTCCTTCATGTACATTTTGAATTTCAAATTTATGTATAAGGAAACGATATGCACTACTTTTATTGACGTATCCAATAAATATGCAATCAATAGTTTTAGGACCGATTTTCACTTGTTTAGGCTTAGATACTTCAATCTTAGTCAAACACCCCTACACTTTCAAGTGTTGGTAGGAAGGACGATGACCTTTACGTAGTTTATATGAAGTTTTTTCCATTTTCTTAAGGGGCATCTTTTTAAGAATGCTAATTGCCGATATAATAGTTTCTCCCCACAAGTTCTGGGGTAGACCCGAACTTATGAACATTACGTTCATCATCTCTTTAAGAGTTCAATTTTTGCGATCAGCAACACTATTCGATTGATGCGAGTAAGGTGCCGTTGTTTGATGAATTGTTCCATACTCGAAAAAATATTCTTCAAATGGTGCCCCATATTCATCACCTCTATAACTACGAATACTTTTTATTTGTTTACCAAGTTGATTTTCAACTTCTGTCTTATAATATTTAAATACATCTAAGACTTCATTTTTACTTCATAGTAAAAAGACATAACAATACTTTTGTACAATCATCAATGAAATTTATAAAATATTTCTTATCACATTTAGTTTGAACGAACTTCAAATTACATATATTGCTATGTATTAATTCTAAAGGTGTCGTGTCATTTGAATTGAGTAAAAAGGTGTTTTAGGCAACTTTACTTCAATTCATATTTAACATATATGATTAAGATCAATCTTAAGCATCAGATTTAAACTTTGATTCATAAGTTTGTGCATAGATTTGTAATTAACGTATCATAATCGACTATGCCATAAACAAGATAATTCAGACAGATAGATAGAATTTGAATTTTTATTCATAATGCCTTTTGGTACAATTGTAAGGATGTTCATTTTGAATTTTCTTTCACTAAGATAACCCTTACCAACATACATATCATTTTTGGTAGGTACGAACATGTCAGACACAAATACAAGTTTAAAGCCATTCTTTCTAAGTAGAGACCCCAAAATCAAGTTCTTACGAATGTCTGGCAGATGGAGAACATTATTAAGGGCTAGTTCTTTCTCGAAAGTCATTTTCAATGTGATCTTTCTAAATCCTTCGATCTTCGAACTTGCAGAGTTCCCCATGGACAGTTGTTCTCCTTTCAATTCATGATAGTTTGAGAACATGGTCTTATCTGGGCAAATATGGCGGATAGCACCAGTGTTGACACACTAATCCCTTGAATTACCAACCATGTTGCATTTAGAATCAACCGCATATAGACTCATCTCTTGAACTCCTTCAAAAAGGGCGTCTCTTTCAATTATATTTGCTTGTGTTGTCTTCTTCGAATTTCGACATTCGTTTGAACGATATCCGACTTTTCCACAATTGTAACAGTTGCCTTTAAATTTCCTGACATTCTACATGGTCTCTCGTCTTAGTGCAACACCTGAGATCTTACTCTTATTGACAACCTTCGAACATTTTCAACAAAATTTACTCCAAGTTGAGCAATATATTTTCTTTCAGTGTTTCTATTGTCTTCTTCAATCTTCAAACGGACTATCAATTCTTCCAGAGATAATTTTTGAAATCTCTCGACATACGAGAGAGTTTCTCAATGATAGCTGTAACTTGAAATGATTCACTCAATTTCATATTTTTTGCATGTATGTGATGAAGTAGAACTGCACTTATTACGGTTTTGGAGTCTACCATTTTGTAGTCCAAAAATTTGTCGACAATGAACTTCTTTGTTTCGACATCTTTGATCTTGTATTTCTTTTCCAATAAATCCTTAGCCGAGTCCACCGAACTATACACTCCACAAAGTGTATTGTCAAATCTATTTATGATGTAATTTTTGCAAAGAAAATCCGAGTGTTTCTATACATCTAATGCAATAATCGACTCATGATTATTTTTTCATTCTTCTACAGCATGAGCGGTTTCTTATAAAAATTTTGCCAAATTCAAAGAAGTAAGATATAACAACTTCTTTTGTTGCCATCTTTTGAAATCCACACCTCCAAACTTTTTTGATTTTTCCCCATGTGAGATATGAGAGTTTGATGTAGATATAGCCAAAGGCGGAACCACATGGTTTGTATCATTAGTTGTTTGACTCGAAATAGTAACAGTATTCATTTCTATTACAAATAGAAGTTCAATGCACAAAATGAAAGAAATGAATAGCATATGAAATTCCAAAGATGAAGAGAAGTTATTTGCTCAACAACAATCACAATCACGATTTTTATCTTAAGATTGTTGGTGATATCATATAATGAAACTGTTATTTGCTTGAATGACAAAGAAATAGTTAAGTTTAATTTGCAAGAGCGTAATTAAACTCCATAAAAATAGAAGCAAAAAAGAAAAAATAAAAGAAAATAAAGAGATACAACTTGTGGTATAAGTACTTCAAATTACAAGCAACTGTAAACTTAAACAATTTTCTTCTCTCTACAAGAAAATAAATTTTGGAATGAATTTTAAAGAATTTTTGATATAATGCTCAATCCCAATGGTATGTGATGTATAATGGACGTCCAAATGGTCTTATTTATAGAAGAGGAGGTTGTGAGTGAAGCGTTTGCCCCAAATTCAGCAACCTTCACAAAGAGAAACATCTCTTGCTGTCATTGGTCTGCCGCTCGAGCAATAGCGACACCTGTTCAATAGAAACTTGTTCGCTCATCTGTCGCTCAAGCAATAGGCGAGCAGTGGAGTTAGCCAGTTAGGCAATTTTCCGGTCAATTTTTCCTCTTTTATTTCCAACTTTGGACTGTAATTTTTCATTCTTCCAAAATTAATTTTGAGATTTCAAATATACAATAACGATCTACTCGATGAATAGAGCGAGTTAGCCTATTTATATTTATAATTTGACTATTAGATCAAGTCTGAATATTTGATCGACATTGATACAAAGTCACTTTTCAAGTTTTATACTTCATCAATTTTTCAATCTATAAACCAAATTCCAACAAATATAATTAAAACAAGAAGAAAGAGCTAAGTTCCATTCCTAATTTACCTCATTAACAATAAATACAGTACACATCTGTTACAGTTACAATTTGCTCACACAAAACTCCTATAAATTAGATAATGCAAAAGAGCATCAGAACATCCTCAATTTACCATATTGTTAATAGAGAGCGATTTTTGATGGCCTGCTATACCTCACTTCAAAAGGTCATTGGTGTCTGACTTAACATTTCCCAAATGTTGAATTTCCTGAGCATGGATACTACATCCTTCATCATAGGGCAATCATTGGCATGTCCACTCACACAAAGAAATGAAGTAGCTAACCTTTGGATCATTTCTTGTATCTGAGAGTTTGCCCTTCCCCTCAGCCTTAGATCTAGGACATCTACATGATTGTTTTTACTGTGAAGTGGTCGGAACCAAGTGTGCACCACTTGGCAATGTTGGATCTAATGGATGCCTTTTTATTGGGCCCTCTAAGATAATCACACCCAAACTGTATACAACACTTTTCGTGGCGACGTTTTGCATTGAAGCATGTTCTGTAGAAAATGATACAAACTTAATGAAATAATCGAAATTGTAAATGTGATGAATCAAAGTGAGAATAAATTATACCAGGTGCCATGCAACCATAAGAACCAGCCAATTGAGGCCTTTGATTGTTTTGAAACATCAATATTATGAATAGCACAGTTGATCAACCTTACGAAGTCGAAATTGACAAGATAGGCCTCCATGTGGGAGCCTAATAACATGTTCATGGCTTCAACGTCCCCGTGTATAATTGGGGCAACGCAATCATGGTGCAAGCATTCAAGTGCACGTGCATTTCCTTACCTTTGTAATAAGTGCAAATTAGTTTTTAACCTTTATCTTAGCACTTATATCCAATATTTATCATACATTGTTGCCTATTCAGATTATATCATTCTTGTTACGAGAAAATTCTCGAATCTGGAATGCATCATCGTCAGCTTTTACCTCACTCCGGAGTTAAGTAAACTTGACATATATTTTTTTATTGGATGAAATGGGCAAAGAGATTATTTCATAGGTTTTTAACGGCTCCCATATAATATGAAGTTAATATTTAGCCCTGGAGCGATTTTTACAAGATTTTAATTCCATTTTGACCATTGGATTTTACATGATTTTAATTCACTTTTTGACAGTTGGAAATATAGGTGGATCCCATTTGCGCTGTAAGAATCAAATACAAGGAATGCCCATCGTGGTTCATATTTTTTCTTCTTCTTTCCAATTGAATGCCCCAAGCAATCAATCCATCTTTGGTGTCTCCTACTCAACCGATGGTGATCGAACCTTATTATCATACAAGAATTTTCCATATAGCAGTGATTGAATATGATCCCATTAGAATTCCTGAATTAAATTTTAAAGTGGCACATTGGTCATTCTACTTGATTCATTCAATAACTAAGGTTGCCCTATCACTAACATACACTATATAACAGTATAAAATTCACTAAAAAATTTGTAAAAAATTGCTCCCAAACAGTGGCTTAGCTTTTGTTTTTGTTTGACAAATTTATAAATCATTTATAAAGATTAAGGATAAAAGAAATAGTGAATTCCTTAAAATGTATTTGTATTTGAAATTAATATTTGACTTCGATTAAATTTATAAATTGACAACATGCTTAGTAATTAGTAACTTCAATTGAAAATTTGAACATATGAATGTCAAAAAGAATTTGATTGAAGACAATTATTAATAATTTTACATGAAAAGAGAATATTTAGGTTGTGTTTGAGCTACATTATTTTGGAATAGTAGATTGATGGAGAATGTGTGGTTGAAAAAGAAGTAAACATTATTGTACGATGGAAAATATTATTTTATTGAAAAATGTGTAATTGAAAATGAGTAGAATATTGAGAATGAAAATTTTAATGTGACTCAAACAAGACTTACTATTTATGAGTTGATAGTAGAAGGGTTTCCACTAAGGGAAAATTAGGCCAATTACTGTAAAAAGGGAACAAATTAGATTAATACACTTTAACCAAATTAAAACCTCTAACAACCGTAAATAATACGTTCCCAACCCCAAAATCATCCAAAAAACCCAAAAGCCCCAAAAAAATCCCCAAAACCACGATTCAGTCAGGTGGGAGAACCAAATCTGGTGCTGTGGCTGGACGCAATAGTTGGTACTGGCATGGTGCTGGTGGTGCCGTAGGTGGTGGAATTGGTGGGGGTATTGTGGGTGCGGGAGCTGGTGCCATAGGTGGTGGAATTGGTGGGGGTATTGTTAGGGCTGGTGTTGGTGGTGGCTGTTGGACAGGTGCAGCGGATGCTTGTGGTTGAGGTATAACTGGTGGAAGTGCTGGAGGTGAAAGAGAAGGTTAAGGAAAGAGAGGGGTTGGACCAGAATTTGGGCGTGAAATAGGAGGTGAGGTTTGCGTTGCAGTACTCAAGTGCTGCTAAAATTGCTTTAGTGCCCAGAGGAGTTGCAACAAGTTTAGCAATATCATCGACGAGTACGAGGTCAGAATCTAGATAAACAACCTCTTGAATGCATTCTGGGAGCATATCAGCCATATAGTTGCGGGCATAGTTGAGTGGACGATCCAGTGCAGCACGAATAGAAGTTGAGATCAACCTCGCCATCGGCGAATCATCGAAAGGATAGATGTTGAACTGAAGGTAAGGAAATGACTTTGTGACTGTGAGGTTGAGATGGGAGGTGTCGGCGGCAACAGAAGACACCAAGTGGAAGATTATATTTTCAGGGCAAGATGAGTGTTGAAGGACTGAAAGAATAGCAGCCATGGATCCCCTGAGGTATAGCCGGTGGAAGTGAAATTGGATTCTAAACCGGGATAGCCACAAGTCGTCGGCATTGGCATTGCGTCTGCTGGAAATTGGAACGTTGTTGTCAAAATTTGGAATTCTGTTTCCCGGGCTTCTTCGTCTTCTTCCAATGCCTGATTAATTAACATCCACATTTAGCGATGAGTCTTTACTTTTTCTTTTTTTTTTTAGCGATTAGTCTTTACTTTTTTTTTTTTTTTGTGTCATCACAATTTCATACATTATCCTTATTCCTGTTGTATTCCTTTTGACGTTTATTTTAGCTGAGTTTATCCTTCGAATTTTTGTATTCCCAATGTCTAGTATTTTATTCTACGAATACTTGTCTTGATGTTTGTATCACAGGTTCATCATATTATTGTTGTAGCGTTTAATTTTCTTTTTGATCTCTGTTTTGCCACCAACCTAAACCTCTCGTTATTGAAGCTAAGTCCAGAACTAGAAGAGAGGACAACAATGCCAACCAATCTAGTATTGGTTAGAAGGCACATAATCTACATATTCATTTATTTGCTTCTTTTCTGAATTTGATTCTCAGCATGTAAAATTAACGGTTCCTACAATCAAGATTATTATCAAGAGGGATGTTGAGTATTTGTCACTTTTTTTTTTTTTTGAATGTGTGCAACTTTTTTTAATTTGTTAATTTTTTAAATTCGTCACTTTTTAAAAATTTATGTCACTTTTTTGAATTTTTGTCACTTTTTTTTTATTTGTCACTTTTTTCAATCGCTTTCTTGAAATTTCAATCATTTTTGTAGTAACAAATATCACTTTTTAATAAAAGTGAGATTGTAAAATGATACTAATCTTTTAAAAGTGACATT